CACCGAATCGAGGTACAGCACATTCGGTAGGGAACTCCTAGCTATGTATTGTGCTGTACGGCATTTCCAACACTACATCGAAGGTCGTGAATTCACTCTTTTCACGGACCATAAACCGCTCACTTTCTCGTTAAGCTCTGCTTCTGACAAGTACTCTCCACGTGAGTCTCGACAACTGGACTACATTTCGCAGTTTACTTCAGATATCCAACACATCTCTGGAGCAACCAATGTAGTTGCAGACGCTTTATCTCGTATAACTTCCTTGAACAGTTTCCAAGGAATCGACCTTCTTAAACTCGCCGAGCTTCAAAAAGAAGACAGTGATCTTCAGCACGAGTTATCGTCCACAACACTTAAACTACGCGTCAAACAGATGGGAACAGGTAAGGAAACCTTACTTTGCGACACATCTACAGGTAGGGATCGCCCAATCGTGCCGAAACATTATCGACGCAATGTCTTCAACACATTGCACAAACTTTCGCATCCAGGTGTTCGTGCAACCATCAAGCTTATAGCAGAAAGGTTTTGCTGGCCTGGAATGAATAAAGACGTGAGGGAGTGGGCACGCTCCTGTGTAAGCTGCCAAAAATCTAAGGTTATCAGACACAATAAATGTCCCTTAGGCTCGTTTAAAACTCCCGATGCTCGTTTCGACCATGTTCATCTGGATTTGGTAGGACCTTTACCAGATTCAAATGGATACTCTTATCTCTTAACCTGCGTAGACCGTTTCACCCGATGGCCAGAAGCAGTACCTATCAAGGACATCACTGCTGAAACAGTGGCTCGCACCTTCGTCGAACGATGGGTAGCAAACTTCGGCTGCCCTTCAACCATTACTACAGACCGCGGACGTCAATTTGAATCTGATCTTTTCCGTCGTCTGACCACTCTTTTAGGAAGCACTCGCTTCCGAAGGACCGCCTACCATCCACAAGCAAACGGGTTGGTAGAACGTTTTCACCGACAACTGAAAGCTTCGCTATCAGCTGCAAACGTTTCACAGTGGACCGACGCTCTTCCACTCGTCTTACTAGGTATCCGCAATGCAGTGAAAGCTGACATTGGATACACTGCGTCTCAACTCGTTTATGGTACGACACTTCGACTTCCAGGAGAATTCGTGGATCCTTCATCCTCTTCAATGAACATGGATCTAACCTCCTACACGAACAGGCTTACAAACGCAATGCGTTCAGTTAAACCTGCTTCCACTCGACCTCAATCAACTGATGTTTTCGTTCAACCTGACATACGATATAGTACACACGTTTTCGTTCGTCGAGACTCGCATCGACGACCATTCGAATCAGCATACGAAGGACCCTTCAAAGTTCTTCAACGTGAATCTAAGTACTATATAGTCGATAAGAACGGAACCAACGATAGCATCAGTATCGATCGCTTAAAAGCAGCGTATTTAGAAGGAAATCCTATCTACGTGGATTTTCCTTCGGTACAATCGAACGACACGACTCCGACACTTATAATACCTCATCCGACAACCAACACACACGATGATACTTCGACAGTATCCGAAAATAAACTTAAAACGACGCGTTCTGGAAGAAGGGTGAGATTTCCAGAACATCTAAACGACTATTGCACGTAAGGCACTTCTCGACATTTTATATTATTTTTTAAAAAAAAAACAATTTTAATATGCTTATATATTTTCATTTCTATTTAAAAAAAAGAAAAAAAACAAAAAAACAATTTTTTTAACGCTATTACGTGTGCTTGGGTATATTTTCCATTTTTCGCCGACATTGTGTTTTTACGCACATACGAGTGTATTTCGACATGCACTTACATTTTCTTTTTTCTTTTCCAGGACGGCTGGAAAAGAACGATGACGTTTATGAGGATCCGAAATTTTCCATGTACATTTTCTTTTTTTACTATGTTGTACCTCCGTCCCATATAGTAAGGAAAGACGACCAGACGCTGCTAAATTTAGTAAGCTATCAGAAGAGTGTTTACCAACGACAAACTCGTTGGGTTTAAACTTCTGGCTGGCCACGTCTTAGGGTCGTCACTGCCCCACTAGGGGGGGAGTGATCTGTAGCGGTAAATAAATCCCCAAAATAAATAGCACTAAGTTTTCGACATTGGATGCTGACCATATGTTTTAGTGGACTCACCTAGCTGAAGGCGCTCGGTCAGGCATCCGCACCAGATCACGTGTGGTAACGCCGTGCTCAACATCAACCGCAATCGCTAGCCAGATTAGATCAGAGAATTCCGATATATTGGTCATCGCCAAATATACTCTTCCGATCTCCTCGACTCTGTCTTTTGATTTCTCTGGGTGGGAACGAAATATATTAGAAGGTGTTACTGGTAGAAGCGTTGTCAAACACTGAATACCTGTGACATCATCATGGGCTTACTTAACTGAGCTCAAGAATGCTTCACACGGTGGAATATCGTTGTTTTTCTTTGACTACCTGCTTGTGGAGTTGATTTTTTTATTTAGTTACTAGACTTTATATATTCCATGGTAATTTTGATTCTAACTATTGCCCTGAAGTCCAAACGAGTTTGCAGGACGAAACGCACAACCTCCTTAAATTGTGGTCGCCGACATTATTGAAAATATAATTTGCTTAATCAGTGTAGCCTTAAACCTGCCGTACAGTTCCATTCGACGTTTTACATAGTACTTAAAACAACCTGCTATGAAATTATGCTAATTTACTGATACAATCCTTTTGAGAAGCTTGCTAAGACAGTGCATTATCGGCATACTTTTGTTTGATAGAACTGAGTGTGTTTATTAAAAATGGTGTGCATTTGTTCTGCTAGAAGAGATGTACTAAAATTTGTAAATATGGGATATGTTATTTGCGACCGTTAGTAGTTCTCCCAATCAAAATTCATGAAAACAAGGGACAAGGACGCCAAAATGGTGATGAAAGTGGTAGGAACGAATTTCAGTGGTAAGTAAATCCGCAAAATCAGTAGCTCTTTAAGTTTTCGATATTTGATTATGGCTGCATTAGTTTTAATGGACTCACCTACTTGAAGGCGCTCGGTCATCCATCCGCACCAGATCACAAGTGAGTACGCCGTGCTCCACTTCTCTTACAACCGCTAGCCAGCTTAGTTTGGTCACTTCTCGATATATCAATATTCTATATAAAAATTCGAGCCTTTTCGCTTCTGACTTCTGATATAATTCGCGCGCTAATTAAAATGGACAGTGGTATTTTTCCTCGCTGAGTAAATTTTATTGTTTTGATCGTTTATTACGTATCAAGACTACTGTTTCCACTTTAGTTGAATTTACTTCAGTTAAAGTATTCGACTGGAGTATCGTTTACTGTTTTTTAATTAGTTTATCGTTGGTACTCTGAAGTACCTTATTTTCTACTGTGTCTGTTAGTACTTTTGATCCTAACAATCTATAGTTCTCCACTTTTTTGGTCATAGGTTATTGTCTTTGAGCACTATTGCATCTCGCTCTCTTTTTTGAAAGGACCCCTTTTTAATGACCGGACAGTGCAAAAGAGCAGTTGCCAACGTTCGGGTTGTCGTTATCCCGTTGGAAGCGGCATGTAGTGCGATGAGTGCAAAGGCTGGTATCACGACGTTTTCATGAATTTAACGCCTTTGGCTTTCAAAAGGTTTAGTAAAAAGGATTGCGTTTGGCTTTGTCAACAGTGCTGTTCGGATGCAAACAGCTTGTTAACCGAGCCCATCTCACTGCTAGATTCTGCGAGAAAGTGTTTTAGCGAGCATAGTCGGGACACATCAAATAGCACTCGCTCTGTAGACACGCAAATTGGTATGAAGAAAACTTAGGTGAGTTCGAAAATAGGTGACTCACACCGATCAAAGAAGGAAAAGCAGTCTCCAAAGAGGTCTGTCTTAAACAAAAACTCAAGAAAAGAAGGTTCTTCTGTTCCCCATCTTACAAATGGCATCCAGCGGGAAACGCTTAGAAGCCGCCATCTCAAGGCTCGATCGGCTTCATGCGGTAAACATAACCTGAACTGTCAGGTCGTCGACAACCCTCCGTAATCCAATAGTAGGTTTGACGCAACTGTCGTTGCTTCTCTTAGCACCGTTGACGAATGGGTACAGGTTGTAAGGAAGAAACAACGTAGCGATATAAAAGGGAATTCTGCTCTCGTAAAAGTAGTTGAAAAGTCGAAGTCTGATCACAGCGACAGATCAGTTATTTTTCATAGAATCAAGAAGAGTGAGAGCTCCGAACCCAAAGCTCGTTTTGAGCATGACATTGTGCTGACTGTAAGATCCATTTTGAATGCATTCAAATCTGAAGGCCATTTGCTAGTAAAGATGATCAGGACGAGAAGCTAATTGCATAACGCTGCTTATTGTTGCACCTCAGCATCTGCAATGGAAAACACAGATGGCCAAATAATTATCATACTTTGTAAACTTGTTCATTTTCTCCAAGCTACGACCCAGTTCGTCACCAAAAGATGGACCCCGGAGTTCATTAAAAATGATTTGAAGTTTATTGCTGAGATAGAAAACGTAGTTAGCAGACTGGCAGATGACGAAAATTTGGCAGTTCAACACTTCCTACAAAACATGAGTACTATGTTTCCTCATTTCGCATCATCTGCTACTTGCTTCGAACTTGGAAATGCAGTTGATTGGGCTATTGAGGTATATTTCTCTGGCTTCATACAATCCTGATCATTTACGTGATTTGGCCATACATATTCCTGATTTTGGAAGAGTCATATTAAAGCTGTTTGATGAAACTGAACATATACGTTTCGAAAAAGTTGGGTCAGAGGAAAATAATCAGTGCACACTGATAATGAACTTATTAATTAATCTATTTAAACGAATTATTTTCGTTGATCATTTAAATCCCCTCCTGTTATCGCAAATTAACCGATTAGCAAAAAAGAACAATTCTGCAGCAGAATTTTGGAATTCGGTTGCGTGTGCTATAAATATGTCTTAAAATAATGTTAAATAAAAATGATAAATATTAAAAAAAGGTAGGCGCCGGTGTAAGATCCATTTTGAATGCCTTGTGTGTTTCTGAAAATCCCTCCATGTATATACTTGCACTTTGTTCCTATTGATCCTCTTAGTTGTACATTGTTAACTTTTGGCTACATTTGAATTGTTAATATTTGTATTTTATTATAGTTTTCGTTTTTACTACACCTTCACTAATTCCCCATGTTTCTTCCCGAACTGCACTTATGTTGTTTTACTTTATACTAAGTCTGGGCGGCAGCCATTTTGGTTTATCCTTGCTTTTGATTGCTTGACCTGTGTTGATTGGAATTGTGCATTTTGGTTGTGAATTGAAGCACTCTTCCAGAATTGAAAACACTCTGTGTTATAGAGCGACCAATTATTACCTTTTAAACAAATCTGTACGTGATCTATCCAGACAGGATAGAATAACAGTTATTTGTGGTGATTGGTAATTTTCTTGCATCCTTTATCAACTTTCTTATTTATTGTAGTTTATGTTTGATCAATTGAACAATTATTGGTTGGATAGCTGAGTGGTTATATTTGTTTAGGTAATAATGTACACTTAAATTTATGATAAATCATAGAACCGTCATCTTACCCAATTACTTTGTTTTGGTTTCAATCGGGCGAGGGCGCGTATCTAACTCATCCAGACAGCTGTCCTTCACTCCAAACCGTAGTTTGGATCTTACAGTTCTAAACAAATAATTTGGTCGAATTCGTTGGTTTTCGTTTCGCTGATTTCAATCATTGTCTCTGGGAATATTTGGTCGTTCGCTTGCGATGCCAAACGATCGTCGAAAGAACTTAAGTCCAAGGCTCGTGGAAGCTAAAAGAGATTAACAAAAGGATGGATCCCCTCAATCAAGGCAAGTGCCTTATGATGCTTCTATGTGTCATGGTTCATATTCTAATAGGGACGATTTTAATTATAGTGAATCTAGTTGTGATATAATGGCAGATGGAATAGAAAACCTTAGTTTAGACGTAAAGCAAGCGAAAAGCGCGATGCCTATGGCAGCTTTCGTAGGTCTAGAGTTACCAAAGGTTGAGTTAAGTTATTTCGACGGTCAACCTAGAGGTTATTGGAGGTTTTTAAGGGAGTTTGAGACCTATGTGGAATCAAAGGTCAAGGATGATGATCAACGCTTGCTTTATTTGATACATTATTGTAAGGGTAAAGCGAAAACAGCCATTGAGGGTTGTATTATGTTGGAAGCCTCTTCTGGTTACAAGAAGGCCAAAGAGATTCTAAAACGGTTATTCGGACAGGCGCATGTAATCGCTCGAGAGACACTAGAAGACTTATTCAATGCCGTGAATTTTGATTATACTGACGGAGAGCAACTATCAAACTTGGCTATTAAAATGGAAAACTGTGCTATGATCTTGGAACAGATGAATTATGTCTCTGATCTAAATTCCTTAGTTACCTTGGAAAGAATAGTGAGACTCTTGCCTCAGCCTATGCAAACCCAGTGGGCGGACTGGGTGGATGAATTGACTGAAGATAACAGGGAACCGACCTTTGGCGAGCTCACTCAATTTATCGCATCGCGTGCGAGAGTGGCTTGTAGTAGATTTGGACGGTTAGCAAATCGTTCAAGAAAAGGACATAACGTAAAGACGAACTGTCACGTGCAATCGGAGCAAGGGAATAGTTCGACAACGAAAACTAAATGCAGTATGTGTTCCTACGACCATGCTATTGATAAATGTCCCCAGTTCTTAGCGCTTACAGTTCAAGACCGATGGTCTCACGCTAAAAGCAAGGGTATCTGTTTCGTCTGTCTTAGACAAGGACATAGAGTTACTGAATGTAAGCTGACAAAGCGTTGTAACGTTAATGGTTGTGAAAAGAAACATCATTCTTTGTTGCACAGCGAAAGTGATAAACCTGGTATCTCGATTTGCTGCGGATATACTAAATCACTAATCAGTCAAGTGTGTTTAGGCATGATTCCCGTACGGTTGAAATTGCGTAAAGCGGAGATTGTGGGTTATGCTCTCTTGGACAACGGTTCTGATGTGACACTGATAAAATCAAACTGTTTGAGGTCTCTCGGGCTGAGCGAAGACCAAGCATCAGTGGTAGTTGAGACTGTGGGCGGTAATAGAACAATGAAGGTCACGAGTGCGTCTTTTGAGGTATATTCTTTAGATCGATCTGAACATGTTACGATTGAAGGAGCTCTGATTGTAGCAAGTATACCAGGTCATAAGCCAACAGAGTCAGCAATGAACAACCTAGTTAAGTGGCCGCATTTAAGTGATGTGCCAATAGATAGCCTAGACTCTGAAGAAGTTTTACTGTTGATTGGTTGCGACGTACCAGAAGCACATTGGGTGTTAGACCAACGGTTGGGTGGAAGGAAGAACCCGTACGCTGTGAAAACGTTGCTGGGGTGGACGGTTTTCGGACCTGCGTCATGCCCGGAATATAGGAGAAGTGTTGTTAACCATACCAGTAAGGTACAGACATTAGAGAACGAAATAAGTGAGCTTTATGATGTAGAGTTTTCAGATGCTTATTCAAGTAATAAATCATTATCAGTAGACGACAAGGCGGCTATAAAGATTGTGGAAGGGGGCACGCGCTTCGACAACGGTCATTTAGTAGTTTCTATACCGTGGAAAAAGGATCCAAATATGAAAGTGGATAATTATGAAGTAGCAAACCGTAGATTACAAAGTTTGAAGGGTATGTTGTCGAAGGATGCCAGTCTGCACATCAGGTATATCAACAGTATTGAGAGTAAATTTACTAAGACTTATGCGGAGAGGGTCCTTGAAATATATTTGCAGCCTAATTATCGCCCTCGAGGGTATTTACCTTATCATGCAGTGTTAAACATGAAGAAACCAGAAGAACTTAGAGTGGTCCTTGATTGTGCCGCCGAGTTTGCAGGGGTTTCCATGAATGATATGATTTATCAAGAACACGATACCACTGCTGAGTTAATGTGCATATTATTAAGTTTTTGCAAGGAGACAGTTGCAATCCCTGCAGATGTTGAAGAACTGTTCATGCAAGTGAAGTTCCCTAAGTCTGATCGAGGAGCTTCAAGATTTCTGTGGTGGCAGGAGGGGGACATGTCGAAGGAACCATCTGAGTTTCAAATGACAACTCATGCATTTGGTGCCACATCATCGCCGTTTCGTGCGAACTTTGCCTTCAATAAGACCGCACAAATATTCTCTGACGGTAGTGAGTTTAGAAAAACTGCTGTGGTTAACTTGAGTAGTATAAAGTACAACATGTCACCTATTCTCTCTTATTACTCCGAGTGGTTGAAATTAGTCAGGGCCGTAGCCTGGCTTAGAAGGTTCATAGAATTCCTGATGGTACTTCGTTCCCCGAGTCATGAAGGATCCGTTCATTTAGGATGTTTAAAGGTCAAAGAGCTTGACATCGCCAAGCGTAAAATTTTATTGATGGTTCTGAAAGAAGTGTATGGAGAAATACTTAGTGGATTTAAAAACAATGGTAAAGTAGTTAGTCACAATGATCTGAAAGGCTTATCACCGATAATGCTTGATGGGTTACTCTGCGTTGGAGGTCGACAAAGATACTCAGATTTCCCAAATACTTTTAAACATCCAGTAATTTTACCCAGTCGACAATTAGTGACGGAAATGATAATTAGACATTGTCCTAAAGAACAAGGACACATAAGAAGATCATTAGAAAAAGGCTATGGATATGTGTTTACTTGTTTGCAAACATGGGCAGTACATATTGAAATGATGTGTAGTTTGATTACTGATTCATTTATAATGGCCTTATTACGTTGTATTGGAAGAAGAAGGAAACCTGCGGAGATTTACAGTGACATTGCGTCAAGCTTCGTGTGGGCAGTTTCTGAGTTAAGGAAGTTTGTGCAACAGTCGAATCAGCAGAAGATAAATAGTGAATTGTCAGCGAGGCCCTCATCCAACAGCATGGGTGGAGTTTGGGGAAGAGTGACTAGGTCTATACCACGAGTGTTATTGTTGAATACCAGAGAACAAGTGAAACAGGTCTCCTTGAAGCTTCGGATTAGTCTTTGTTGTTATTAATGTAGGTAGGTCGAGTAGGCGTACTGTTGTAAGTCCTACTCGTTCCTATAGTGTCATATGCTACATAATGAACCATGACCATAGGCATCAAGGTAGCTTGTGTGATATGGAGGGATTTTGGGGGCCGGTGTAAGATCCATTTTGAATGCTTTGTGTGTTTGTGAAAATCCCTCCATGTATATACTTGCACTTTGTTCCTATTGATCCTCTTAGTTGTACATTGTTAACTTTTGGCTACATTTGAATTGTTAATATTTGTATTTTATTATAGTTTTCGTTTTTACTACACCTTCACTAATTCCCCATGTTTCTTCCCGAACTGCACTTATGTTGTTTTACTTTATACTAAGTCTGGGCGGCAGCCATTTTGGTTTATCCTTGCTTTTGATTGCTTGACCTGTGTTGATTGGAATTGTGCATTTTGGTTGTGAATTGAAGCACTCTTCCAGAATTGAAAACACTCTGTGTTATAGAGCGACCAATTATTACCTTTTAAACGAATCTGTACGTGATCTATCCAGACAGGATAGAATAACAGTTATTTGTGGTGATTGGTAATTTTCTTGCATCCTTTATCAACTTTCTTATTTATTGTAGTTTAGATTTGATCAATTGAACAATTATTGGTTGGATAGCTGAGTGGTTATATTTGTTTAGGTAATAATGTACACTTAAATTTATGATAAATTATAGAACCATCATCTTACCCAATTACTTTGTTTTGGTTTCAATCGGGCGAGGGCTCGTATCTAACTCATCCCGACAGCTGTCCTTCACTCCAAACCGTAGTTTGGATCTTACACTGTTTAAGCAGCTGCTAAATCAACTCATACCTCAAAATATCACCGTGGTCACCTTGCTAAAGATGTATAGACTAAGGAGTCTAGCGGACTTGAAACCAAATCCTTCTAGACTGCTTTAAGTAGTATTCAAATCTTCGAACAAACATGACCTAATTTTACAGAATGGACACAAATTAAAGAGTTCAGGAGTCTTTATTCGAAGGGGCTTACCGTTGGCAGACCGTGTTAAAAGACGGTAAGTCTAAAAAGAACTACAACTTAGGTAAGACGCTGGCGAAAAGGACCTGAAAATTGTAAATTTTAGGGCTGTAAGGCTTCGACAGAGAATGATGCCGAAGCCACTCTGGGTGAAGCACGAAGCCACTTTAACAGGCTTCGGATCTGTTACACCAATGCCCGAAGCTTACTTGATAATCGACCGGAACTAGGTGTACAGATTGACTCTACAAAGCCAGACATAATCGCAGTTACAGAAACCTGGCTGACACAGTCTATAGATAGTATGGAACTTGATTTCGAGGGTTTTACGTTTGTAAGGGTCAACAGAATGCGAAGACGTAAAGGAAGGGTAGTAGCTCTATTCGTTAGGGATGCTATCCCATTTGCTATTATCGTCAGTGTATCCCATGAGAGTGGTACGTGTGAATTAGTTAGTTGCCGCTCGAAATGCAAGGGACAAGAGATGCTGATTGATTTGGTCTATCGCAGTCCAAGCTGTGAGGTAAATGAGGTCCTGCTAAGCAGTCTCAATACTTGGTCACAAAGTGCTGGATGTCCAATCCTATGGGACTTTAATGCACATATGGTAGACTGGGAAAATTTGCGACCTGAATTGTCAGATAATTTATTCGAGCAGGAACTAGTTGATGGGGTTATCTCATGTACCCTAGTGCAACATCTGCAAGAAGCGACAAGGTACGACCCGGACACTGAATCATCTTACGAGATCTTATACTGACTCACAATGAGGATGACGTTGCGAATCTCCATTATATGCCACACTCAGGTAAAAGTGATCACACAGTTTTAACTTTCGACTTCCATATAACGGTCAATCACGAGCACGCGTTAGGTCAATCCAGACCTAACGTACGGAAAGCAAACATACCGGATATCATGCACTCAGCATCGTTAGTAGATTGGACAATAGACCCACAGTCCTCAATTGAAACGGCCTGGGACGCATTTCGAAACTCATACTTAAAAGTCCCCACACCCCACATCCTTTGAACTATACCAAGGGGGCCGAGAAACTCCCCACCATGGTTCAGTAGGGAGGTCCTCATCCTTCTCCGTAAGAAAATAAAAATGTGGGATATATTTAAGTTACTGGGGACTGATGAGACAAAATATCAGTATCGAATAGCTCGGAATAGCTGTGCCTCGACCCTCTGTAAGTCTAGAAAGTTGTACGAAGAAAAAATTGTTAAGGAATCCATAGAATGTCCTAAACGTTTGTACTCCTATTTAAACCGAAGGACGAAAAGAAGAGGAAATATTCTTGCACTGTGGGGAGACAGTACTGCTGCATCAATAGTGGAAGACGACTTTGGTAAGGCTCAAGTGTTCTCGAACTACTTTAGCAATGTATATACCATAGAAGCACCCTTCCCGTCAGCGCATACAGATTCCCCCACACATACACTGGATAGCGTGACCATTAAAGAACTCGATGTATTTGGTCTACTGAATAAGCTTGACGTAGATAAATCCACGGGGCCCGATGAATTACGTCCTAGGGTACTGAAGGAATTATCTAACTTCGTTGCGAACCCTTTAGGTATATGCTTTAACCTATCCGTTACGCAGGGTCGTTTACCAAAAAACTGGAAAAACGCCATAGTAAGTCCTGTCTTCAAAACAGGTACGAAACACAAACCTGAGGATTATCGACCCGTTAGCCCAACTAGTGTTGTTGTTAAAACCGTAGAAAAGATTATTCGGAAGGAGCTGTTTAAGTATCTCGATAAAAACCGGATCCTCTCGGAGAAGCAGCACGGTTTCAGAATAGGTTATTCTTGTCTCACTAACTAATTACTGGCTCGTGAAAGCTGGTGCGCTCTTAAAGACCAAAATTTACCTGCAGACGTAGCCTTCATTGATTTCAGTAAAGCTTTTGACAAGGTTCCGCGCAACCAGCTGTTATATAAGTTAAGAAATGTCGGGATTAGAGGTAATTTATTGATGTGGATAAAAGACTTCCTAGTTAGGCGTCAACAAAGAGTTCGGGTGAACTCAAAGTTATATAGCTGGGAAACTGTGCTTAGTGGAGTGCCCCAGGGTACAGTTTGGGGTCCAGTGCTATTCCTCTTGTATGTAAATGACCTTCCTTTTCTCCTATCATCATCGGTCTTGCTATATGCTGACGATGTCAAGATATGGAGAACGACACGATGTAAGAGTGGTAGCTTAGAACTTCAAAATGACCTGAAGAAGTTATCTGAATGGTCTCAAGCCTGGCAGTTGCCGATAAATACTTCCAAGTGTGTTGTGATGCATATCGGTCATCAAGGTACAGATACATACACGATGAATAACACTGAGCTACCTGTTGTCCAGACATATAATGACTTAGGAGTTATCGTTAGCCAAGACCTGAAGACTACTGCACACTGTCGTGCAATAGACTCCAAAGGTTTTAGAACCTTATGGTCAATGTCATGTCAACGCTAAAACGTTTTTGACTTTGTATACAGTGTTCGTACGCCCTAAACTTGAGTGCTGCATACAAGCGGCTAGCCCCTGCTTAAAAAGACAGTGAGCTTCTGGAAAAGGTTCAGAGAAAAGCAACTAAACTGATTCCCGGAATAGCGAAGCTTCCATACGATTCTCAGCTGGCCAAGCTAAACCTTTTCCCGTTGTCATATCGTAGAAATAGAGGCGACTTGATTACAGTCTACAAATTGATTAGTGATAAATTTGCACCTAATATGCCCTCATTTTTCTTGTCTCCCAAAGCAGAGAATTTACGAGGACACCCCAAAATAGTTTACAAGCCCAGAACAAATTACTTGTCAGCTGACTATCGACTTTCCCATCGAATCATCAACGAGTGGAATTCACTACCTCAGCACGTGGTTGAGGCTCCATCCGTCGACTCTTTCAAAAGAAAGTTGGATCAACTGAGAGACCACCATTGCCAGGACTAACACAGGCCATCAAGCTTCCTGTCCTTCCCAAACTGAAACTGGACTGGGCGGGCACATTTCAGTAATAGAAGTTGTTACTGGTTAAAGTGACGTATACACCGAATACTTGTGGCATCTTTAAGGTATTACAACCCTGACCAGTAGGAAATTTTTTTAGGATGCTAGCCCTTCAAAACAATAATAATTGCGAGAATGAACGCAAGTTATTCGACATACCATATTTAGTTTGGGTAACAAAGTTTTGACTGATCAAAAGAGTGAGAATACCAATGTAATGGCTAATTTGTCGGATCAAAGGGACATTAAGTTGATAATGTGGAAATATAAATGCACAGACATAAATTTGTACATTACTAGTTACTGTGTTCGATTCGGTCGAAAATAATTAACTAGTCTGTGGACAATAGCAACGATTTGAAAAATAAAACGGCATTATTAGAAATATGTGTGGTAAGAACGTTTATTTACAAAATCAGCTAATGTTAAGCATTTCCACAATGTCATCTCGATTATTGAAAAGCTCAGAGCAGTCTTTCGAAATCTGGGCTACCATTAGGTATATTGCTCAGGCTTTTCATGGGTTTTTAGTGTTCTACCGTCATTTAACACCTTATATTTTCGTCTGTGTCGAAATTTCAAAACTGTTTTTATCTTGAGTGCGTTTTCTAAGAAATCTGGTATATCAGGGGCATTACATCTAGCAGATTTTGAAATTTCATAAGGTTTGTATACAGACATGAGTTGCATTCCAGCCATGAGCTTGTGGTTTTGAGATTTTTATAACTTAAATTGTTTGCTGATCGATAAAATGTTAATATTTTCCTCATAACATACATCATTCTTCAGTCATTAACTGTAAATAACTAGCGATGACCTGCCGTTCACTTTTAGTAAATTTAGCGTTTGTACCTAGTATCCAATAATTATAATCTCGAATGTTAGTAGATTGATTGATATTCTTGGTGCTGATGTTTTGAAGGACGGTGACAGCCTCAATCACATCTGAAATGACAAAACTATCTTTTACCAGGACACAAAATTTCACGAGCCTAGAACAAGTTAGTCAGTTGACTATCGACTTTCCCATTGAACCATGAACCAGTAGAATTCACTACTTCAGTACGTGATTGGAGCTCCATCTGTCGACTCTTACCCCGGTTAACACAGGCCATCAAGCCTTCTATTCTTTCCAAACTAGAAATTAAACGAGCTTTTTATTATATACCTCCTAAGTCTCATGTGTTTTGAACTCAGTTCTTATTTTCCTTTTTTATGTAAGTTTGTGTAATATCATCTAAAAGCACTTTTTCTCTAGGGATTTATTGAACACTATCGTTCATATTCCAGTCCCCTTAGTATTCTGTCGTGATATCATTGTATCTGATCAAACGGAAGTGATTGTTTTGTTTTTCTCCTTGATTAACAATGTTGGAGGTTAGTTGTCTGCATAAAATTAAGCTTCAAAATCCTTAGTGTGCAGCACCTGGAGTTGAGGATGCTAACGTATGGGGTCTCATAAGTTTAAAGAAAGGTGATAAAAAAGCCCAAAGGAAAATTCTAAATGAGTTCCACAGACACAACAAGGTGTTGAATGAAACTGATGAGATTCAGGATGCAAGACAAGCCAGAAGGATAGCTTTCAGAGGAGTTAAACGTCAGCTTAATCTCTGGAAAGGCCCAGTACATAAAAATCGTCTTGCAGAACAAATCGTTTTTCCAATAAATGACAGAGAAATCGTTATGTCAGCCTCCCAAGAGGCTGCAAAAATGAAAGAGCAAGTTTATGTCAAGGATACCATAAAAGATTCGACAAATTTACAGGGGAAATTATATAATGCACTGTATAGAGATATGGACACAAGGTTAGTCTTTTTTCATGTTGTTAGTTCTTAGTACACCTCAGGAAGAAATTCCAGAAAAGGCAGCAAAGATGGTTTCCAAGATGCTACTGGAAAAAATCGCTATGCGTGACAGAGAACGTTTCTTACTTGCTCGAGCTGCTGCTCGTAACAAGCGTCAAAATAAAATTAAAAGCAAGCGATTTCATCGTCACTTGAAGGCACGTACTATGAAGGAATATGAAAAAGAAACGGAGTCATTGCGGATCAATAATCCTCGGAAATTTGCTGAACGTCTTCTCAGTGCCGAATTAAGTAGAGTCAGAGAAAGAGCCAGTCTGAAACATAGAGGTGGTAGCAAGTTTGCAAAATTACAGAAGTTGAGAGCAAAGTATGACTCTGAGGTAGCTATATGTTAATCTTACTTATAACTTACCAGGCTAGAGCAGCTGTAGCAGACATGCACGAGTTATCTAGGGAGACCACAAGAAGGACTGATCCCGACCTTCTATCTGATACTGATGAATCTGATGTATCTTTATCATCTGAATCTGAGGGGGAATCAGACGGGTCTGATTTTAATTTAGACGATGATGCCGACGAGGAAGTTAATGGAGTTACTCAAACCCTCGGCTGGTGGAAAAAGGTAAAATATGATCCGTTTTCAACATATACTAGCTGGTCAACGTATATTTTTGCAAGACATGAATATTTTCGCTCGCTTCTCTCTAGGAAATCCACGAAATATAACGGAGTATATATTTTATGCATATATTGGCTACGCCATGGTTTAGTGGTTCGACTTTCGACCACCAGGCCATAGGTCCGAACCCTATTTTGGTTCGTGAAACCGGGTAGCACAATTAATCATCACAGTTACTTTAACTTGTAGCTAAATTCTTGACGCATAAACTAATGAGTGCGTTCTACAATCAACTCTTCCACTTATCCGAAAAGCTACAGTCTTTTCGAAATCTCATGTTAGCAGGGATCACATATCAACTATATTTCTTGTGGTTATTTCTCCACTACCGTTGTTGTTGTTGTTAACTTTTTGATTCTCATCTTGTTAATTCTCCCGTTATGTTGAAGCTTGACAACTCGAAGTAATATATATCTGTACCCATTCCCAGACTTTATATGATTGTCTAATAGTATGGTGCTTACTTTTTTTAGTCAGCCAGTTCATTAGTTTTCTGTGTTTGTGTACGGTTGCATCGTACAATAGTACAACTATAATAGATTTTCGAAATTTGCATGAAAAGATAATTTTGTCTTACTACATAGTTCACCTTCGTGCTCTACACTTGAAGTTTATCGATTGCAATTGAACCTGAAACTGCTTCCTATTATATGCGTAACCTACCACTGACATCGCGTAGTGTAATTATGACGAAATATACCTTGTTCGTGTAGTTTGGTTCACATAAAATGGTCAAAAGTGAAAAGGTGCATATATGCATATATCCTTATGGTTTTCTCTTTTGATTACTGTAATTTAAATTTATTGATAAGGATTACCTATACAGTGCATAACTTTTATAGACTTTATAGATTAAACAATTATTGTATTTTACTTTTCTCTGTGTGGCTCCTAACTTCTATCTACGACAAAATCCAACTTACTCGACTGGGTTTCATATCGGTATTCGTTTTGCAGTGTCCGTATTTAAACTCAGAAATACCCAGTCATGTTTTCAATAAGTGATAATTATGTATTATAGTTCAGTTTCAGATAGTTGAGTGGTCATAAATGTTCTCATTTATTTTTTCATTTAGGGCTCAACCAAGAACAAATCGAAGACTGAACATCAGACAACTGTTGGAGCTGTGCTTTCCACTCAGGCAGCTGAAGAAGTACTAGAAAAATATGAAGTCAATCAGATGATTTTAAGTGAACCAGTAGTGTGCAATACTAGTGTGGCTGCAGAACCAGATGTAGTTGATCCCAATTCAGAGGGGTTTTTCCATGCACTTCAAGAAAGCTTTGCAAATGATCCTGCATTACAACAGAAGTTTTCCGCAGAGAAATCTGAAACTGTACAAGATGAGGCGCCTCAAGATATTGATACATTTCTGCCTGGATGGAATTCCTGGACAGGTCCAGGAACTGAAAAGGCTGATGAAAGAAAGCGGAGATCCAGAATTATACCTGCTCCTAGAGTAAAACGTGAAGATGACAAAAAACCTCACGTAATCATCAAACGGCGTGTAAACCAAGATTTCAAGCAACACTTGGTATGTCATATATATATATATATATATATATATTCATGAATGTCTTTGGTTTTTTGCAATCGTCCGTTAATTTTTTCACTTCAATCTTTGCTAGGTAAAAACTATTCCGTTCCCTTACAACACACCAGAACAATTTGAAGCTTTTATCTCTCAGCCTATTTGTAGAGAATGGACAACAGAACTTACACATCGTGAGCTAACAAGGCCCAAAGTTACAGTTCAGTCAGGTCGTATTATCAGACCAATATCAAAGTCTGCAGCCTTACTACGTGATAAAGATATAGAGCGTTTTGTTAAACAAAACAAAAACTCCTAGTATCATGTACATTACTTATCTTTTTATGAGTTATCAATATCTACATTGTAATATGAAATATAACATTCGTAGATTGTTCAGTATTATTTAAGGTAATTTAATTATAGTAAATGTCCTGTAAGAAGCTTTTGCCCTAGCGGCGAGTTGATTGACGTATGTAGTATTAAACACGTAGTTTTTAATATCCGATGAGTGATATTCTGAAGTAACAATTACTTTGGTTATGGAATGTAATGGTTTTAAAATCGATATGGATCCTGTATGAACTACTAATCATGACAGTGCCGCATTAATGTAGACAGTTGGCAACATGCAGAATGCGTCTGTTTTACGTGTTACGTCGAATCTCATCAAAAAGTGGACACTTCTTATAATTACGAAAATGTGAATAGTGGTGTTCTTATGTGTAATCAAAGGATTTTAGGTGAGAAGTTGCGTAGTAATTAATCTTTCGAAAATTAGAATAATTATTGGGCAGGAAAATTAACAGCCATAACGAATCAGCAGTCCAGTTTCAAACAAAGTATAATTATCTGAATATTAATAAAATATACTATTAAATAATAATGACCGACCAGTGTTGTCTGACTTTCGATGATACTGTTAACTGAGCTTAGTCATGTCAGGAGTAAGATAGTTATCGTCACCTACAATAGATGGTCATCGCGCTACTTCGCGAACTGATTAAAGTTACGATTACGGATTTTTTTTAACCTCAAATTAAGTCGTCCAGTAATGTGCGAAACTTGTAGATCCTCGGTTCGATCTTTTAAAACAACAAATAGCAGTTATTACAAAACAAGATGGCATTTGACTCTTCTAAAATGCAAACAAATAAGGCCAAGAGGAACCAATATCAGCAACTACTTATAATTCGTAAAACTCCTCACAGATGATATACCACCAAACTTTTGGGTTCACATACAAAAAAACTTATTATATTACCTTCCTCATTAGTTTGACCTAGAGAGATATTGTGCAAATGCAGCTTGGTATGAAGCTAGATTTACCTCCATAGGACATTTTTTTGGTTGTTTCGTTTGGTAGAAATATATTAGAAGAAATCTGCATTTTATTTCATATGTACATTATACTTCTATAACTCTAGCAAGTAACTAGTCAGAATCAAGTTTGTATTGTTCGTTCCATAAACTTAAGTTTTCATCTGATTAGACAGCCCACCAATTTTTTTCGGATCTGTTTTGACTATATTTTGAGATGTTTCAAATATGTAGGTCTTTGTTGTAGTTACTGAAAACACCATGGACATAAAAGTAATAATTTGATGCTCACTAGCTTTATTTAACTTATAAATAATCATATTAACGAAAATAGGCCCATCGTTACCCGAAATATTACTTGGCTCTTCCCTGTATTTCAAATAGTTCTAATAATCACTTTACGAATGGTATCATTTTTTTTAAAAAAAGGAAGGATTATTTCGACTGTAACAGCTTTCGAACAAAGCTATTTTAATTGAACTCCAATGAAGTATAATTGGTAGTTAGTAAATCCAAGTGAATTGTTTTTATATATTGAAAACGATAGTTTAAAATCTTATCATATAGAAATCTCGATGTAAAGATAAATTATTGTATTACGAGTACATTAATTTATCTAATGTTCAATGTTTTAATAGCAGTGGAGTGGATGACGCATGTCTCTTCCTATTTTGGACTCGTCAGCTGAGTGTACCTGCATCTGAGTTGATGTTCACTCTTGAACTCAAACCCAGTAGCGTTCGCTTCAAATGCCATCGCGTTATCCACTCAGCTACTGAGTCCTGTATTCAATGTTTAGAGTAATCGAAATCAACTTTGAAATATATTAATACATTCCAAGTAACGTAAGATTAAAATGAACAAAACAATAAGAATATTAAAATTATCTAGATGGTGCATAAAATAACTTTTGAAGAAACATGATAATTAAAAATAAAAATATTAGTAATTCAGAAAGGTTGTTTGGAGAACAGCAGCATGCGATGGGATATATCTGTTCATTTGATTGAAGGTTTCAGTAACTGCTCAAATTATGCGTCTGTATTTTACTTGGCAGCTTTTTTAACATTATTTTGAAATTGACTTGTCACATTTCCTGGAGGATGATACAAACAAACCAAAATCAGTTTCGAATCTTTATGCAAGTCCTCTCCTGATTTGTAGGATTGACTTGCAATACCAACTCCAATCCTTTCAGAACTTGACCATACAATTTGAGTAAAATTACCTAGAGCAATTAACATGATGATCGATAATAAATACAAATTACGTAACAACGTAATGTTTTAGGTCTCAGATATAAACAAATACAATTTCGATATAAATCAATGATACTAACCAATAACAGGAATTGACGATGGAACTAGTCATTTGATGGCAGAGACTTTTCATTCAGTCACTAAGCAACTACATTTACACCGTGAACCTGAGAAATCCATTATTTTGCCCATTAAATAATTCCTAGTGTCAATACATAAATCCATCGAAAGAGAGCAACGCAGGCAGTTTTTATAATATATAACTCAAATAACGTTAAGTGAAAAATCCTACTGCCATCTAGTACTATTCTGACCTTGAAAAATCGAGATGCAGAAATACATATCTTCGGGACCATATGTGAGACGAAATTAATGGCCAGTGGTGAAGAAAGGGAGTTTTCGACGTAGCTAATTCGGGGGACAGTAGTTCATCACGAGCCCTAATCCTACCAACGGTAGTGAAGTAAAAACCCTTTAGTGTGTTGATTCACTTGCTTAGTACACCTTTCAGTGACATACATGGTGAAAAGACTTCTTGAGCAGCTTACAACGTATAGGTGACAGATGTTTTTTTGTTCGTCGTATCTCATTACTCAAACCATAGAGAGAACTTAAGAGACCTATACTAAGTTAACTATTAGTGTTAGCCCTCCGACAATATACCCAGAACAAAGAAAATGAGACTTGTTGAATAATATTAACTAAGTTGACAAAGAAAAGGTTTAACAATTCTCCAGGCTAATTATTTTCTGAACTACAAAAATATCATTGAAGAGGATTTTATATTTACGCAAATATAGAAACAGGGCTTATGTGAGGATTTATTCAAGTGTAAAATAAGTGCACTTTCCATTTTGAACTAATGGTTCTCAATAAAAAAATACTGGTTAGAATCGTACTTCCAATCAACTAAATTAGATTTGAAATGGTTTTGGATTATCCCGTTGTTTATATTTTCAACTGAAATTTTATCAGTCTTGGCTGGCATATGGGCATCTTGTGTGTATTGCCTTGATATAAACATTACGACAAGTTGGTATCGAATAAATAGAATGCAGATAGCATTGGAATCCGGGACACGCATTTCGTCCTATTTTGATGTTCCCTCTAAGGACTCGAACCCAACACCGTTTGTTCCAAATACAATCGCGTTGGTCAGGTGATGGATCGAAAATGGGACGAAACTCTTTTCCTAATACTAGCCATCTTCCATCTATTCTACTAGATTAAATTTCACTGCTCTAGGATAATTACACAAAAAAAATTTACTGAATGATAAGGTTCTAATGTAAATAAGGGATTTGGTAATGATATTCCTTCAAACAACATTTTTGAAATGAAAAATCTTTTGACCAAAAACAATTGGGTAAAAACATACGATTAAAATCATGATATATGAATCTGAGAAAACTATAGATTTCGCAAAAATTTATCAAGATACATAAATCACACGATTATAACAATATAAAGTCATCAAATTCATACAAATTACCTATACCCTGGATACTATCCGGCTCAGAGTTAAACTTATATTTTTCCGATTCTTGATACCAATGTTCAATTAGGTCTTTGCCTTGATAAAAAAGAAACATATTAAAATTATTTAACAACATAAACCTAAATATATCTTTCTCTTAAGAAGTAAATTTCTTAATACAATTAAAAAGCTTATGTGAAATACCATACAATATATCATGATTATCAGAACTATGTGAACTATTAAGGCAATTCATTTCAAACAATCTGATCACAAATGTATTTGTTAAAAACATTCATATATGAGAAACAAAAGAATGTTGAAATGATAAGAAACTCATCACGCTGGATAAGTAAAATATTATTACCAGGGTAAATTCAGAGTGAGAAAAAGCTGTCTTTGAACAAATAAAAGGAGTTTGAATTTTCGTTTGGCCAAGGTTCCAAAAAAACTATAGAATATCCCCTAGACAATTTTTGTGCAAAACCAAAAAGGTTGAGTTAAGATCAATCTCATAACCTGTTTCAACTAACTGTTTAGCAATAGACGATGATGGAGGTTTATCATCTGGTTCGATTATGTCATTTGATTGTATTAGTTTCTGTAGCCATTTCGGTAAATGTTGAAAAACCCCGAAATTGCAAATCACGGTTTCTCTTCCTCATGTATATGTAGCCACAAACTTACATGTGATTAGATTATTTCATTTATTTACTTAAACATATAAATATTGGAACAAAGGAGCACCATATTACATATGGGGCACACGATAAAAATGGTATTGTGAAGAGACAGAGAAAGTTGAGTATAATAAAAATGAATAGAAATTAGTGTGTGAGAGTGAAGTAAGCATAATAATGATAATAAATATAGTTACTATTATTATTATTATTATTATTATTATTATTATTATTATTGTAAGAATGGCAGAAGCAGTTCAGAATTTGAAAAATTCCCATATTGTAATTTAAAACAACATATATAAGCGAACAATATTGTTTTCGATTAGATCGTCATTAGGCTTTATTCTAATCTACAGCAATATTTATATGCATATACGAAATTATTAAACCAATCAAGGTAGTTTATGAGTCAATGGTAACAATGGAATAGATTACATAAATAAACATAATATGTGAAAAGTACAAATTGATAGTGTGATGACAGGTGTACTAGTTTTGATAAGAATAATAAAGGCTTAAATCAACGTTACATAGAACGATGGAGCGATGGGTTCACCTCTGGTTTCTATCCTTACGGACTTTTTTCTCGCGAAACTAGAAAATGGACCTCTCAAAGATGCTATTGATAAGCTTGACTTCTACTGTCGTTACGTTGATGACACTTTCATTATTGTCGATCAGAACATTAGAAAAGAAGAACTATTTAACAACAAACATCCAGCAATTAAATTTACATGTGAAGCGGAACTCGATAATAAACTACACTTCCCTGACGTTTTGTTAAACAGAAAATAAAATGGTTCTATCAGTAGAAGTGTGTTCAGAAAAAGCTTTTCATCAAACCAATACACACATTTCGTAAGCTTTGTACCCCTTCATCATAAGAGAAACTTAGTCAAATGTCTGGCAAATAGAATTATTGAGATATGCTCAGTCGATACAATTGATAAATAATTAGAACTCATACATAATATGTTGATTGAAATGGGTTATCTACAGGTTTTCCTGAAGAAACACTTGCGTGTAACGAGTAAGAAAATAGCGACACCAATGGCTACTAAGGAACCTCTCTTCTTGAGGCTGCAATTCAATGGAGATGTAGCTGGTGATGTACTACGTGATAGACTGATTAATGCAGTGAAGAAAACGTTTAATGCAGTCACCTCTGTCTATGGTATTCGACCAGATCTATGGTGATTCCCTAACTAAAGGATAAGTTACCTCGTTACGCCAATTCTATGTGCATCTACGAATTCAGCTGCTCCTGTGGAGAAAGCTATATTGGGCGCACTACCGGACAACTGGACCAAACAGGTAGTGAACACCTCCCTTCGTGGTTAGGAATAGGTACTGTCAAGACAATACGCAGCTTGGTTCTACCACACTTGGTCGATATCGGTCATGCAGTAGACAGAAACATGCCATTTAAAGTTCTTTATCGTATTCCTACTAGTTTTCCTTATGGTGTTCGATCTTATCTCTTACACATAGCAGAAGCTATAGGAATTCGAGCCAACAATCCAAGTCTTTTTGTTCATAAGAAATTTGTAACACACTTAGCCTTAGTAAATGATTTTATTTATTTTCCATGAGCTTCGTTTATTTTTCTTCACAACCTCCCACCCTTTTCTTTTCTCAAATATACGCTTCACGGTCCAGTCATCTGAACACCTCCTATTATGTAATCTTGAATCCTTTCTATGAAAATTATTTCAGTGTCTACATTTCTCTAATCAATGACCTATTTCCGCTTATGTAACATTGGTTTAAGCCTTTATTATTAATATCAAAACTAGTACACCTGTCAATAGACAATCCAAAAGAACAGTCCTATTCAACAAATTGAAAGCGACCCTGATGTTAAAATGATTCGAAACGCATAGCACTAATAGATCACATAGTTTTGATAATCTTCGTCTTGATATTACACTACTTAAATTTATCAAAGGCACTAATTATTTTAAATATCTTATGATCACTTCTATTACGAAAAATGTGTTAGCCTTTTTCCTAGTCAAAAGTGACCACAACTCTTCACTACTATGTGATATCTTAAAGTTTAAAGGTCTTGCAAGTGGGATGGATGGTTTATATTATGTTTTATAAATCTGTATTTTAAAAAAGAAAGAAAGATTAGTTCAGCGAAGAGTTCTCTTTTTGGCGAATTCATTTTCAAAGCTGTACAATCGCAAATATATATACTTATTTTTACAGGGTGATAATAATACTGATAATAAACTTCTGTTATACATGGTGACAGTGAGGTTAAATAAACAAAGGTATTTGTTGGGTCGGCTTCCGGAGAACTTCAACGGAGCCTCCAGAGGCCCACAAGGAGCCGAAGAGTCCTGCCCAATCAGAGTGTGATGGAACGTTCTAGAATTCCAACGTGGCGTGCTACTATTGGTCGGTAGCATAATGTGTTGTTATCGGATTGGCTGTAAAATGATGTTGATTTAACAGACGCCAAAATCTATAAATACCCATGATTTTCTGTACAAAAATGAACCTTGGAATAAAGTGCTTTCTCTCGTTCTTGTGTCTTCTCTCTGGAGTTCAAGTCGCTGTGTAGTTCTAGACTGCGGGTTACCGAAATAGCTTAGGAATCGTATATAGCGTTCAACCTACACGACTTAACAATTGGCGACGGGGTAGAGAAAATTTTGAACCCTATAATTGGACGAGATTCAGCATAATTATTTTGACCAATCAGTATCCAGATTTGTCATTGGCGTCCTTGGGAATCATTGGTTGTTAATTGATTACAGTATTTCTCATTACCCTGCTGACTGAGAAAATGAATATCCTTCCCGATCAGTTGCAGCTACTACTAGATCGCCAGCAGCAGCGCTTCAGAGAAAGCCAGTTGAATGTTGTGGACAATTTACGCACGCGACTGCTAAATCTCCCATGTTTCGGAGATGTGAAGGAGATTGACGAATTAATTTCTCACTTGCATACTGAACTCGAGAATGACTGCAGGACATATGAAGATGAAAACAAAAGCCTCTATGAATCCCTTATGATCAGTAATGCAAACGAGGCAGTCGCTCATAATCCGTCCAGCGACCCGGGAATGTCCAGTTCAGAAGCATGCCCTGTTGTGGGTTCAAATCCCACTGTGCCTGAAACATGTGAGGTATTCAGCTTACAAGAAGAACCCCTCGTGCCAGAAAATGTTTCCCGTGCATCAAATAATGGTCAGAAATCCAATACGAATTTCAAAGATGCTGTTTATGTTAGTGACCTATTACCCACTGATGGAATTTTGAAGAGGTCTGAAGAAAATGTTGCACAAGAATCAAACCTCAATGACCTCATGTCTGGTGTCGCTAATCCTCATCATCTTGTCAGTTTTATCGAACCCTCTACTCAATGCGCGAAATATGCTTTAAATAGAATCAGACTGATTGTTGCTTGGGTATATGAGGACCCAACGTTATTTCGCGGGGGAGGACGGACGCAGAAAATTTTAAAGTCCAGATATTAACTCCGGATCTTTCAAAAAAGGGGAGGTGTTAGGTAGTCGGGAAAATAGACCAATAATTATGATGTTAAGTCCAATGGTGTCCTTGGACCTTAAATGTACATTTCCCATTGGTAGATATTTATTTAACGTGTTATTTTCCTGTTGGCCAATATTGTACAATGTTATTTTCTACTTTGTGGTACGTTGTGGTCTGCTTGACTAGTATATAAATAGAGTATGTTTGAAATATAATGATTCATAACCCAGAGGCTGTGACTTGTGTTCTTGACTCAACTGGCTGGGCTAGACGGCGAAGCAGGGCCAATCAGGGCACTAGGTCATCCTTACATGTTTACGTGTCCACTGTCACAGAAGCGATCGATATAAACGCTGCGTATCTAAAACCTGCGGTCACACCCGTTACAACAGTATTAGAAAAAAAATTTAAAAAAACAAGGAAAGTTTGATAGTTAATGGCTTCTAGTATTCCTTGTTTTTTAAAAATTTTTTTCTAATACCTTTGTTTATTTAACGTCACTGTCACCATGTATAACAGAAGTTTATTATCAGTATCACCCTGTAAAAATAAGTATATACATTTGCGATTGTACGGCTTTGAAAATGAATTCGCCGAAAAGAAAACTCTTCGCTGAACTAATCTTTCTTTCTTATTTAATGTCATAATGGGTGTATTTTAAAAAACAGTTTTTGCTATAAACCGATATTAGCTAGAGAACCACTAAAAATAAAAAATGTACTAGAGGGCTAATTCGTCAAAATATGGGACTAGTACCACTCAACAGTAAGCACATATTACCTCATATTGAACCAAACTGAGAATCTTGGAACCTCACAAAAAGGACAATACGCCCAAAAAACATATCCAACCTCCATCGATTCGTAAAACAACACAATTCTTATCCATTGCCAGTAGTGAGTTGGCATCTTGAGCTTGACATGGTTAATCCCATAAATGGTAGGGAGTTGATGACTTAGAAACCAAAAATTTAGGTCACTAGTTGGTGAGGTAGAATTTTCTTACTGAATAATTTGATTCATAACGTTACGTGGTTGAAAAAATCCTATTGGACAATTCACCAATCAACACAAATCATTCAATTACTTTCTTATTGTAATTTTTAGGTCATTAAGAAAATACATTGAAAGTAATACATTTGATAGACAGTAATTTTTCAAAATGACAGGCTAGACTGTCTTATAACCCGCATCCAAGTCAGATATGATGCACTGTGGGATTAGTAATCATGTTTATTCTCGATTCGTACGCTATTAGCACAAAATCCTTTCGCTCGGTCATAACAATACTTAACATCCTATCGATGGAACTTTCAGAAGTCCGTTTGAAAGCTAATCATAAGTGAGAACAGTTATACTTACAGGAAGTGATCTAATTAAACCAGTGCCATTTATTTGTGTACATAACAGAAGACAATATGGGATGTGCATATAAAAACGATGAAAAGTTTAAAAACCAATTTTACTTACAATTATGTTCCATTGGTCCATTTGACCAGCGACTTCCCAAATTTTCACCGACTTTCATACCACGATATACATATCCACTATTGGACAAATGAGATTGTTGAAGCAAATGATCAGCCCATTGTTGTGCCATATTCGAAAGATCCTATCACAGAACAGGGAATGTGCGAAACTTCAGAATAAGAAATTTATAAGTGTAGATACTATTTCACTGTTTAACGAATCTCAAGATGCAACTAAGATATGATCAGGGAAGAAACGAAAATGGAATAAAATGACCTTTATTTTTTACGGTTTATGTTACTCAGTGACGGTTAATTCAATTCCAAAAATAACGCTCGGATTTTGAGATATACGGTGATTGGGGTGGGAAGGGAAAATAATATGACCTTCTCGATTGGATATTTATACCTATCAAACTTGTGTTCACAATACAGAATTCCGAAATCGAAACCAAGTATTTATTATTCATTGAATTTTTGTAATAGGTAGTAAACTATTTTGAGTAAACTACGGTGTCTTTCTAAATAAGTACATAAAACGATAGCTGACTCACCGAGATAAACTGATATTATTTTATCACGTACTTAACCAGCGCTATTTAGCATACAATGAAAAACTTTACCACACATAACAAAGCGTAGACAAATACTACTATGTTTGAATCCAAGTTATATCTGATAAAATATCGAACGAATTAACTGTATGGTCTTAACGACTAGATTTAGGGAGTTAGGATGGACCAACAAATTTGAACCCGATACAATCAACTGGTTATTCCCTTACTTCTGTTATTCAATTTTCGAGGCAAAACCAGTCTTAAATGTGAAAAATCCAGGGTGGTACATGCAAACTGAGACTAAGATATAAAGAAAGGTGTTTATAATGGCTCTATTTATTAGGAAACAAAATGTATCATAAGAATTACGTACCTCCAAGTGAAGTCAGGTTTTACAAAGACAGGAATAAAATTATACATATTGAAGCATCTAACGTCTGATAATTTACATTCAAGTTAACTTGTGGAGGCGTCAATGACGATTCGGACTGGCACATTATGCCTTGAGTTTTGTTGATAGAAGAGTGATTTCGTCTGCCACACTTCCATTAAAGTTCGCATGACTTCCAAGGCATGCAAAACTTTTAGATACTTTCGTCAGCTTACCACTAATTTGAAAGCAGACACCTTAAAACCCAGTGAAGTGAAGGAAGCAGAGGCTTCTGCCACACTGTTTGTCTTGACCTGAATTTGTTGGTGTGTATGGGATAGAAGGTTTAGGTCATATGAGAAGTCCGAATCGTCTAATTGCATCCAACCTGTCCATTATATTCTGTGTCCCTCCTCAGGTGTGGAGGTCTTCATGATCCAGCCAGCCACCAGAAGAAATAGAAAAGGGAGGAGTAAGCAGCCTTGTTTGACTCCGGTCCTCACTTGGAATATATATATATATATATATATATATATATATATATATATATATATATACGAAATTGAGAGGACGAAAAGCGAATGTCCGGCGCTTCAACCGGATCGGTGGACATGGAGAGTCCACATAGGGGAGTTGCAAAACCCTGATTCCAAATCAATGGTGCACATGGGCTCCAGTATCCTGAAGGAGCAAATGGCGCATGAACCAATTCCTTGGTCACTGGCTACCATGAGACTGCATCTCCTTACGATGCTCCACTGCCTTGTGGATCAAACCTTCAGGTCGAAGGCTCCGGGTGTGGCCCCCTAAGAAAACCACCTGCTTCGGTTTGGGTACCCGGGCAGTATCACAGCCCCCACACATATCAAATGAGATTTTTGTGGCTCATATGTATTTGGTGCCTCCTTGTACCAATATCTATGTGTTCAAATAAATAAATAAATAGATGTGTAGTTTGCTACTTTCACGTCAACTTATACACGACCATTCTACGAAACAAACTTGGGACATTCACATCTCGCAGAAAGTAAGGATGACATAGTTATCTACCAACAGTAATGAATGATTATTGTGTTATATTATGAATTGACTGAATTCTGAAATATGAATCAGTTGATTCCAGTTCAATGGTATAAAGCCCACATATCAATAGCAAGACCTAACAAAATTTTGAGTATTCTTTTTGTTTACAATTACTTCTTTTAGAGATTACAAGTGAATAGTAAATATCATATATTAATTATTCAGTAAAAAAGTAGAAAATGAAAACTATATTAACCTACTTGATCAAGTACTAGAGGATTGGAACCATGTTGACTACGATATTGATTATGAAGTTGAACAACTGAGTGAATGAATTCTCGGAGTTTCTTACTATTATCCTGTATAGTATGGAAAGTTATTTATAACAGAATAATGTTATAAAGTCGTTCTAATGCTAGTTTCATATAACTGTTATGTGTGCAAGGAGTAGATTAACCCGATTAAGAAAAAATAACTGATAGAGTCTTAGAATGATGAGATCTTATGAAAACTTAACAAAAAAAAACAATAACGGAGACCAAGAAATTAATGTATTTACACAAATGAGCAGCTTACACTACACTGGGAAATTACTATTATTACTCCTAATATTACATAATTCTCATTATACAGGAAAGTACTTAACACAATAGTACAACTGGATATGCTTCACGTGAAATGAGATAACATTGTTGAGAAATAAAAGTGAGAAAGGTCAGACAATAAATAAATAAATAGGTATATTATTGATAAAAATATACAGTTGAAATCAGACCATAAGATAGACTTCACTTAATTAGAAGAGGCAATTCACTAATTATGATGAACACGATAGAGAGTCATGGAAAGATCGCCAGTGTACTCAATTATGAGTCATTTCTGATACTGTCTCAATCCACTAGATTGCATAAAGAATAAGGACCAGACAGATGGCTAAAAATCAAACAGAGAGACGTGTACTTGTTAACTGGGTGGATATTATCAATAGTTTTCCACGATAAACTGTTTCCTGTAATTAACCAGGTATTCTTACTGATGAGAGAGCTTCACATTTGACACACCTCTCAAGTGGACCATTTATCCTATAAAAATACTGTAAAAGTCGTTATTTATAAGGGCATTTAATAATATCAACATCAAGATAATAATGTTTTTGCAAAAATTAGATTAGCCATCCCGCAACTTTAGTGAAGTACTTATCAAATACTATAAGTTCAAGTTGCTTTTTAATCATCTTTTTTGTCATAAAGTATGATAAAAATGGATGTTTTAAAGCCGTCACATACTGCAATGACACTTCTTCTATTAAACTGACCATATTATCACTTTTGAGTCGGCACTAAACCACAATCTAACTGATTTACAATACCGAAATACTTCCCACCATGGATTAGCCCTAGCTGAGTGAGTTTTACAAAGCAATAAAGGACTTAATAGATGTTTCATCCCATTTTCCTAGACTACTCAGTAGAACAGATCCATGATTTTACAAGGTATCAAACTCAAGATCTTTAAGCCTCAAGGCACACGTACTATATCCAAACTACTGGTTGCGAATCTAGCAGTAAACACCATCAACTTCATAATCTGTGAAAATAGCCAGTAAAACAGGCAAAATTATCGAAACAACACGAACGATAGGGAAGAAATGTTGTTTTTTTAATAATTTAATTACTACTAACTTAACTGTAGTAAAAATAGAATACTGTAAAAAAAATTTAAAACTCACAACTAAATGTCCGTCTGGTGAAATACTTGATTCCGCTTTTTTCTGGTCTTTACAGGCATCTGTATACACTTCGTTGACACATCGCCTTGTCTAAATTAAAAGAAATGGACTCTTTAATACTTGTTTAAACTCAAGAGTTACAAAAGTTGTTATTAATGACCACATGCGACTAGGAAAAAATAAAGTGAAGGATGCAACACATAAAGTTAGAGAAGTGAAATGTAAGGGAATTAACGTTGTAAAATTATTTAACAAGTTTATTAATGGTGGAATAGAAATATAACAATATTGAAAAACATTACTATTTCAAAAGTCAATCCGCTGACTAATTTAAGAAACTAGTTCATTATTTGCTCATTAATGTGCATCGATCAGTTTACCTGCTCATATGGAGCGGACTTTATTAACCGCACAAAGAGAGCTGTTTCATAGCACAGCTCTGAATATTATATTGCCTGGCTATCTAAAGGACTACAAAAGTCAATCTAAAACTTAATGCTGAAAGATCTAGTTAATTCTGGTCACTCTGCTTCACCAGAATCCCCCCTCAAAATTATTCAAACAGCCAAAAGAATCGGCTCAGAAAGAATATAAATAATATAAAAAAACAATGTACAGCAGAGGCTATAGCTATCCAGATTCAAACGTCACATTTGTTTATAAAAACAGTATGTTCAATCACTCATCCTACCATAGTCTTAACCTTTCTTTTTGTCTTCCACAATTCATCGCTTTTTTCTACTTTCTAATTATTTTTTACAACCTAATTAACCATTACTACAACTTATGACTATTTTGCTCTTAATAACTATCAAATGGAAAAATTTCCTTAGCTGATGGAGGATGTTACTGCATAACTTTGTTTTCAATATATGACCTTTATAAAAAATTTGTGACATAATGCCACTTTAAATTTCTTATTGTACAATACTATCCTATTTTGTTATAGACTGCTATTTTTGGCAAAAAAATAACTATAAATACGATTGTGAATGAAATCGTTAAGAAGATTTTCCTTTGCTGAATTATCTCTATTCCTTTTCAATAACACAACGAATCTTTCTCTCTCTCTCAACGTAAATTGTGTTAATGACATTTTCAATTGATCAGGCGAAAATTTACATTGGTCTACATTGACACATTTCAAACAAGGGGTTAACAGTATGATAAGCATAGAATTCGGAATAATAACAGATTATGCTATGCGAAACCACTACTAAAAAGTTGACTAAATGGCTGGGAGATTTCGCTCTCTTGATTTAAAAATAGCTAGGTATTGTACGCAAGGAGATACTACCTAAGATTTCATAAGTAGATGCTTTGAGGTTCTAACTGACTGACACTACACGCATAAAAGCAATAAATGTTCATAACACTACCCATTAACTGACCCATTGTTTTGAACTGAACGCTTACATAAGAACATAAAAGAACTAATCCTAGGGTCAAAACAACAGAAGAAATATTCCATTTTTTACCTAATCTGACTAAATACAATTTTTCATTCTAAAAAGAAACAAAAATATTCAACTTATTGATTATACTAGCGACTCGTAATTTACAAAGGCTGTCTGTCAATTGGCTGTAACATTCCATTACTTGAACTAGTAAATATTATAAACATAACCGCAAGTAAATAATATCGACTAAACAAAAACACAAGGTTAAAAATGTTTCTAGAAAAGAGTAAAAGATTATTGCATATCGCTTGTACAACAATCTAGATGATTAAATCATGTTTGGAATGTTAGTATTACAACGACAAAGAAAAAACTACACTTGAATTTAGTATCTGATCCATAGTTTTGATGTACCTGTGTGTAGTAATACTTAACAATCCTCTACACCATACCAACGGTGGACTTATTTAGACCATATTACCATCAGTCATCGTTAGAGAAGCTCAATAGACGACTGCCACTCGTTCTGAAATGTATGGTTAAACTCTAATCATTGCTCTAATACAAGCATGCATTTGCTTGCATCTCACTGCGCCCAGGAAAGCCATATTAAGAAGACCCATTATAGTTAAACTCAGTGGTGAAAAAGCCGAAGGTAAATTCTAAGGAAAACTGAAGTCATACTTTGGTCATTTTGAGAACGAGGCTGACCCAGATGTTGTCTGGAAAGATATACAAACAGCCATGCAAACAGCAGCGACACGTGTTAATGATTTGAAGCAAACGGTCACGAAAAACCAGTGGATTTCTCCTAAGACTATTGTACTGACAGACTATCGTAAACTTACCCCATCAGGCCCCGAACACAATGAAGGGCAAAAACAAATCAGACCTAGGCTAACCAAAAGTCTACAGAACGACCGTGAGCAATGGTGGGCAACGAAAGCAAAAGAGATGGAAAAGGCGGCGACTATAGGGAACACAAGACAGCTCTACAGACTAATAAAAGAAACTGGAACTAATAAGCCAAGTGTAAGTGAAACTATATCGGGAAAAGACGACACTTATCTGCTCTCAGCCCAGACGTTTGGAACGATGAGAGGAACACTTTAGAGAGCAGGGTAGCTGGCCTTCAGCAACTTTACAGCCACCCAGCATTCCCAAACAGCCTGAATAGAATATTGAAGTAGCCCTCCCCCGACTCTAACTGAAGTTCAAAAAGCCATAGCTAATCTGAAACGAGGAAGAGCAACTGGTTCAGATGGATTAACTCCAAAGGTCTTTAAGGATGGAGGTCCAATTTCAGCGATTAGGTTGACGAATATTTTAGCTAAAATCTGGGAGTTGGGCGTAATCCCATCTGACTGGTCACAATCACATATTGTCCCGATATATAAGAAAAGGTCAAAATCATCCAGCGACAACCACAAAGGGATTAGTTTGACTAACATAGCATCTAAAATACTAGCCTCAATAATTATCAGACGCCTAACTAACACTCGTTAACTGCAAACACGAGAGAACCAAGCTGGCTTCAGACCTGGTCGTGGCTGCATCGACCACATATTCACCATTCGTCAGGTTCTAGAACACAGGCATACTTATCGACGTCCGACAATGGTGGTCTTTCTTGACTTAAAAGCAGCATTTGACTCGGTAGACCGCGAGATTCTGTGGCAGTGTCTGTCATTGAAAGGCGTATCCCAGAAGTACATAAACCTTGTGAAGGCTCTTTACTCGAACACTACTAGTCGAGTCAGAGCTTATGGCGAACTGTCATCTACTTTTGCAACCTCAAGTGGTGTCTGTCAAGGCTGTCCACTTCCTCCATTTCTGTTTAACTTCATCATAGACCTACTGATGGAAATAACATTCTCGTCGACTGAATTCTCGGGTATTGATCTCCTACCAGGAGGTCCACTTATCGACTTAGAATACGCAGATGATATAGTCCTGTTTGGTGAAGACGCTGACAAAATGCAGAGTCTTTTGGTAGCACTAGGCAACAATGCCAGAATGTTTGGAATGCGCTTCTCTCCCTCTAAATGCAAGCTGCTGCTTCCGGACTGGCCTGCGTCAACACCTGAACTAAGGATAGGGAGTGAAGTAGTCGAACGCGTCGACAACTTCACTTATCTTGGAAGTCTGATCAGTCCTAATGGGCTGGTATCGGACGAAATCTCAGCACGGATTCGAAAAGCTCGTTTGGCTTTTGCCAACTTACGTCACCTTTGGCGAAGGCAAGATATCCGTCTATCAATAAAAGGACGAGTATACTGCGCGGCAGTTCGTTCTGTCTTACTTTACGGCAGCGAAACATGGCCTTTAAGAGTAGAAGACACTCGTAAGCTACAAGTATTTGACCACAGATGCCTTAGAAATATTGCTGGCATCTGCTGAGATCACCGGACAAGTAATAGTGAGGTTAGGCGCAGAGTATTAGGGAATAATGGTAAATCAGTTGATGAGGTTGTGAATCTTCACCAACTGAGATGGTTGGGTTACGTGTCACGTATGCCTGAACACCGATTACCACGACGCGCAATCCTAACCGATGTTCAAAGTGATAGTAAAATATATTGCTTGCTATTTTCTTCAGACTCCTCATCTTAGTTATAACTTCGATGAAATAAAGGTTAGGACACGACAAGATTAATGGAAGAAAATCAGAAATAAACTGAGGAAACGTTAAGCAACATAAATGAAGAAGATAATGGTACCTTTCCTTTATCATCAGTCAATTCAGAGATCTCTTTTCGAACATTGTACTGTTTCCCATCACTTTCTGTCAGTGTTTCAGTAATAACTGTCTTCGGAGTATCTGAGGAGGAAAAATATGGTGGTTCGATAAAAACAAAAGTATTCAACTAGTAAGTAATATCCCTAAAGCTACTTTTTAAACTTATTAAAATATAAACAACTCAGTAAATCACATTGTCAGTCATCGTTAATAGAGAACCTGGGAAAAGTCTGTTTCCACACTTTATATCAACCCAGTAAGACAGAGAATTAATAAGATGAAAATAAAGAAAGTGAGTTTAACTACTCCCTGTGACCCAATTTTACATATTGTTCAACTTTTCCAACAATCGACTACAAGTATTGCGTGGCCCCTAGCCAAGAAATATACACCGAGAAACATAACTTAAACTGTGAATCGATGACTTCATGGATTGACATAATATCTTGATTTACCCACGCTTGGCTCTCATCTTACCTTCTCTTATACCAACTTGAAATGCACATCCGAGTAGGCATTGGTTGTACACGAGTAAGATACATTTTAACCCCCTCAGTCGATGAGGGTTTATATCTTAATTAAAAAACTTTCTCTTTTTATTTAGTACTCTAAGTTTAATTGTACTATTTTTCGCTTGATGGTTCCGCTGCATGTGACCGGTACAACGAAGATACCTGTGGTAAAACATTTGCAGACAATACATAGACTCATCGAATAAGCAAGCTATAAGTCTCAATTCAGCATGACAAGTAACATGAGTAACAGTTCTTGCTTATTAGAAATAATGGAAGCCCTGAGGCCGTTTGAATGTCAATACTTAGAGTTGAGCAAACGGATCAGTCAGTCAGTCAGCTACAACGTAGGACCAGGCACATATATTCATCGGTCCAGGTTGCCATACCTTATTAACACAGCAAGATGAACACCGGATTCATAGGAGTGGTTAGGTCAAACGTGGTAATATATAGGAGAAAGATTGCATATAAGGATACAGTACAGGAAGAAAGAATTAGTTAGTAGAAAGAAAGATATGAAGTGATTTTAATCTCTTAGTTTAAGGGAAGACAGGGAGTGTATGCACCGACGCCATTGAGATCGATTCTGAGCCATGTCACCAAGAGTCTCCAACAATCGGTTACGAAATTCACGCGGACCCCAACCAAGTAGTCTGCATCTACAAACATGGCTCAGACTAGAGGTTGGTGTCTTCAAGCACTGATGCCACGTTTTGGTTTGGCCGCCCCTAATTCTCTTCCAACCATCTCTAACACCCGTTAGCATTGCACGACGTGGTAATCGGTGTTCAGGCATACGTGACACGTAACCCAACCATCTCAGTTGGTGAAGATTCACAACCTCATCAACTGATTTACCATTATTCCCTAATACTCTGCGCCTAACCTCACTATTACTTGTCCGGTGATCTCAGCAGATGCCAGCAATATTTCTAAGGCATCTGTGGTCAAATACTTGTAGCTTACGAGTGTCTTCTACTCTTAAAGGCCATGTTTCGCTGCCGTAAAGTAAGACAGAACGAACTGCCGCGCAGTATACTCGTCCTTTTATTGATAGACGGATATCTTGCCTTCGCCAAAGGTGACGTAAGTTGGCAAAAGCCAAACGAGCTTTTCGAATCCGTGCTGAGATTTCGTCCGATACCAGCCCATTAGGACTGATCAGACTTCCAAGATAAGTGAAGTTGTCGACGCGTTCGACTACTTCACTCCCTATCCTTAGTTCAGGTGTTGACGCAGGCCAGTCCGGAAGCAGCAGCTTGCATTTAGAGGGAGAGAAGCGCATTCCAAACATTCTGGCATTGTTGCCTAGTGCTACCATCTGGTGATAAGAATGTAAAATTTAGACCTATTGCAATAACTTCACCTTTCCTCAAAACCATGGAAAAATTATTAATACTTCCACTTCAGCCTGCGATAAAAGAGCATACTGACCCATACCAGTTTGCATACAGGCGCAAAAGAAGCACTTTAGATGCTGTTGCAGTTCTGCATCACAACATAGTGTTCAACTTAGAAAAGGGTAAGAACTATGTTCGATGTGCTTTTCTAGACTATACTTCAGCTTTTGACTCTATACCAAGACAACGTTTACTTAACAAGTTAATCAGCGTCAACACTGACAGCTGGATAACCAACTGGCTGTGTTCCTACCTCTCTGGAAGGGAACAGTACACTGTGTTTGGAGGAAAGAGTTCAGATTCTCTACTGTCTCAGGAAGGTGTACCACAAGGAGCTGTTCTTTCACCTCTTCTATTCTCTTTTTTTCTGCATGACCTGCCATCTTCCACAGAAAACACTTTTGTGAAGTACGCGGATGATCTCACTGTATGTATGCCTATATCTTCCTCTTTACATCCCATAGAAATGAATGACTTCTTGTCTCGTATTGATTGTTGATCTGTTGGTAATGGTCTCATACTTAATCCATCTAAATGTCAAGCTGTTAACTTTAGTATGAGACATGAACGGAATATAAACACTATTTTGAGATCCCATAGTGCTTGTACCATCGGAGACTCTTTGATAAACGCGGTGTCGAATGTCAATTATCTTGGCATCACCTTTTCCTCTGATCTGTCTTGGTCTTCCCACGTTTTATCGTTATCAAAGAAGGTTTTCCGTCTGACCTACTACATAAAGAGATTGCATGCTCTTGGAATTACTCGTCATTTTCTCTTACAATTTGTCAATTCTTGCATATTACCTATTATTCTTTACTGTTCTCCATTATTCTTTCCCGGGCTTTTGAGAAAAGACTTTGCTGTATTGCGAAGAGTGCTAAAGGCAGTTAGTAAGACGTGTGGTGAATCTTTCGAGGTCATAATTAATATGGTGGTGGACAGACATTTAAAATCATGCAAACTCCTGGCAGGTGTTATTTTATCAGATACTAGCCATCCCCTTCACTCTTATCTTTCTCCTTGTATATCTTCTGGTAGAACGAGACGTAATTACATTAGAATCCTTGCACGCAAGGAAAAGTATAAAAGTTCTATAATACCTTACCTAGCAAATATACTCTGTGACGAACAGGTTGTTAGAATTAACTTAGTCAATAACTTACATTCTTAACATGTCTTTAATTTTAAAAGTTTGTAGTTTCTTTTGGGTTTTTTTTTTAAATTTTTATTTTATATATTTCTTTATGTATTCGCTACTGCCTTTTTGTTCGTTGTTCAGTAAGTAACTTGTTGAAATACCCTGTGCTGAGAATTCTATATTGTACCAAAATATAATATTGAAGAAAGCCATTAATAATAATAATAATAATAATAATAATAATAATACCAAAAGACTCTGCATTTTGTCAGCGTCTTCACCAAACAGGACTATATCATCTGCGTATTCTAAGTCGATAAGTGGACCTCCTGGTAGGAGATCAATACCCGAGAATTCAGTCGACGAGAATGTTATTTCCATCAGTAGGTCTATGATGAAGTTAAACAGAAATGGAGGAAGTGGACAGCCTTGACAGACACCACTTGAGGTTGCAAAAGTAGATGACAGTTCGCCATAAGCTCTGACTCGACTAGTAGTGTTCGAGTAAAGAGCCTTCACAAGGTTTATGTACTTCTGGGATACGCCTTTCAATGACAGACACTGCCACAGAATCTCGCGGTCTACCGAGTCAAATGCTGCTTTTAAGTCAAGAAAGACCACCATTGTCGGACGTCGATAAGTATGCCTGTGTTCTAGAACCTGACGAATGGTGAATATGTGGTCGATGCAGCCACGACCAGGTCTGAAGCCAGCTTGGTTCTCTCGTGTTTGCAGTTAACGAGTGTTAGTTAGGCGTCTGATAATTATTGAGGCTAGTATTTTAGATGCTATGTTAGTCAAACTAATCCCTTTGTGGTTGTCGCTGGATGATTTTGACCTTTTCTTATATATCGGGACAATATGTGATTGTGACCAGTCAGATGGGATTACGCCCAACTCCCAGATTTTAGCTAAAATATTCGTCAACCTAATCGCTGAAATTGGACCTCCATCCTTAAAGACCTTTGGAGTTAATCCATCTGAACCAGTTGCTCTTCCTCGTTTCAGATTAGCTATGGCTTTTTGAACTTCAGTTAGAGTCGGGGGAGGGCTACTTCAATATTCTATTCAGGCTGTTTGGGAATGCTGGGTGGCTGTAAAGTTGCTGAAGGCCAGCTACCCTGCTCTCTAAAGTGTTCCTCTCATCGTTCCAAACGTCTGGGCTGAGAGCAGATAAGTGTCGTCTTTTCCCGATATAGTTTCACTTACACTTGGCTTATTAGTTCCAGTTTCTTTTATTAGTCTGTAGAGCTGTCTTGTGTTCCCTATAGTCGCCGCCTTTTCCATCTCTTTTGCTTTCGTTGCCCACCATTGCTCACGGTCGTTCTGTAGACTTTTGGTTAGCCTAGGTCTGATTTGTTTTTGCCCTTCATTGTGTTCGGGGCCTGATGGGGTAAGTTTACGATAGTCTGTCAGTACAATAGTCTTAGGAGAAATCCACTGGTTCTTTGTAACCCTGTGGTTTAAGTCACTAATAGATTTCATTGCTGTTTCCACAGCTGTTTGTATATATCTCCAACCAACATCTGGGTCAGCCTCGTTTTCAGAACTACCTAAGTGTGACCTCAGTTGTTCCTGGAACCTACCTTTGGTTTTCTCGTTACTCAACTCAGTTCTAATTGGTCTTTTTTTTAATGTGGCTTCTTTGCGTCCAGTGAGGCACAAGCAGATGCGTGCTCGTATTAGGGCATGGTCGGAGTCCAAGTAGGTACTCCAGAATGAGCGATAATCTTCTACCGACCCTCTCCAACGATGACTGATGGCAATATGGTCTATTTGAGTCCATCGTTGGTTTGGTGTAGGGGGTCGCCATGGTAGACGATGTCTTTCCTTATGCTTAAACTTTGTGTTTGCTAAAAACAAACGATTATCTGAGCACAGTTGCAGCAGACTATCACCATTATCTGTTCGCTGTCCTGGTATACTAAAATATCCCCCTAAATGCCTTTCTGTTTGGTTTAAACTACCTATCTGGGCATTAAAGTCACCTGCTACAAGTACTATGTCTGAACGTTTAGCTTTCTGAAGAAGTTTGGATAGCTTTCTGTAAAATTCATCTTTCACTTCATCTGAGCTGCAGTCGGTGGGAGCGTAGGCAGAAACGACAAAAAGGCAAAGACGTGTTTCCTTATCCTTCCGAGATCTTACGGAGCCGTTCAGCCGGACAGTACATAGACGACTGTTGACGGGGATCCACTCTAACAGTGCTTGTTCCGCCCTCATGCTTAGTGCTATGCCTACACCTGCCAGTCCATGAGAACTGGCCATCGGGTCACCAGATACACGGAGGGTGTATCTCGTTGGCCCTCCGTTTTGCCGAGGTGAGGTCAAGTGAATGACCACACTGGAATCCTGTATGCGTGTTTCGGAGACACAGCATACATCAATGGTACGAGATTCTAGGGTTTCAGCCAAGGAAACCCGCTGACCGATTTGACATAGGGTGCGTACATTGAAGGCTCCAATGTGTAGTGTGGAGCGAGGTTTCAGTAGACCTGTGACAGTGTTTTGAGCACTAGAATCGTTGGCTATGGTCACACTTGAGGGGGAAGCCGAAAAAAGAAGTTTAGAGTTTGAAGTTGATGTAGGAGGAATAATAGGAATCGAAAAGGGAGGTTGATTATGAATACAGTGGTCTTGAGTGCTGTTAGAGGTATGAGGGCAGTTATCACTTCCCGGTTGCCCACACCGTGGAAGGGTTCTTCTGGAGGTACCCGAAAAGGAAATCGGATTAGAAGTGGTCTTAGTGACCTGGGAGCGTGACCGCAGTGCCCAAGAGACAACTGCTTGACGTCGGTCACACACGACCTTTTTATGGGCAATTTTTGTGTTAGCTCCGTACTTGTTGAGACCTTACCGCCGGAGACGGATATCCGTGGGATAAGGCGAGGTGTGTATTTTTAGGGTCGACCTTTTCTAACCCTACCCCTCCTCGTGGGAAGGCAGCATCGCTGTCATGCTGGTTGTCTGAAGGAAACACCTTACTGCTGTCACACCTCTGTACAGTCAGCAGTACGACTTCGCCTTCGGACCTTGGGTTTGTTGCTTTTATTCTTACCGCTCTTCAACCGACCTGTCTGGCATGGTAGGACCTTGGTGAACGGTTGTTCCAGCCAGTATAGCTCGATCGCTTCATCACGATAGGCAAGCCCGACCACCACGTCAAGGTAGCAACAACGGTCACTAGCTTGTTGACAAAGTCTTTGACCGTAGCCTCGCAGAATCTGAGTGTTCATTAGTGATAAAGAATATTTTCCTTTTATGATAATGACATCTGCCTGAATATGTCGGAAGGAGCAAAACTCCACTACAACGTTTTATGTTGAAATGAAAAAATTCAGAGAAAATACTTACCATTATTTAAAGCAAACGTGTTACGTATTGGTTGTTTAACGCCCTCCTTCACTGATTCTTTTGGACGAAAAACATTCTCTAGGTAACGACCAAGTACATTTCCTGGAGGACGATAGTGGGCTACAACGACACATTTTCCAGGACCACAGGCTTTACCGAAGCCAACTTCACGAGTTGAACTCCATACCAGTTGTGTAAAGTTACCTATAATGTAGGAAATACTTGGCTGTTTATGTAAGTGAAGAAAAGTATGACGTGAAGATTATTGGAATAAGACTAGGCTCAAAGTTAACTTAAGTATTCACAAAAATTACGGTATGTAACTAACCTGCAGGTCCTTTACCGTTTTCATAATTATAATTTTCGGCATCTGAATGCCACGTATTTACGACTTCATGACCTAGACAGTTTATAGTTGAAACATAAATGATAACCTTGCATGTCCACATGAGTTCCTGTGCTTGTGCGTACACTGATACTTTCACCAACTTCACCTCGACTGGAAAGTGGACTATTTTTTATCCCATCTTCCAACAATAGTGCTTCGGCCCAATCCTGGGCTGTTTTATCTAAAGCGAGACTATGTCGTAAGGCACATACACCATGAAGAAGTCTTTTTTCATTATGTGCTCTGAAACAATCTTCTCTAAAGTCATCTAAGCGACTCATCTATAGAGAAACATCAAGATAAATTCACATCTATAGAGAGCGTATGGAAGATTACCCACTTTACATAGCTTTACTAATATCCTTCGTTTACTTATATTACCAAGACAGTTTAGAATAACAGAGTAATGTCTTGGCAATAAGAATTACGATAGTGCAATGCTTAATCAAACCCAATGACCATAAATTATGAATGGCTAGGCTACAAGATCATGTCACTTTTCAGTGATAAAATTATTTCTAGTGATCAACACTACCAAAGCGGTTTGATCAGGAAACTAGCTTATCATGATGAAGATATTATGGAAAATGAAATGGAACAATTATTATTTGCTATCCTATTTCAGTTCGGTCAGTTTGGGAGTGCTGATGGAATGCAGTAAATTCCAAGTCTACGGTCGAGGTTTTGCTGCTAATCGCACTATATTGTGAAAAATTAGGTGTTTTTCACAAACAAACATCACCATCAGTAATGTCATTTTCCGAATGTTGTGAAATACACTTCATTTAAAACAACCCAACTGTACCTATTGTGATATTTATCATGGTAACTCAACAACAATGTACATATATGTGAACTCAATATACAAAAAGGCCATGACGGATCAGACTCAAACAGTTGTCTATCAGGCTTTGCACAAATGAATACAGGTCTACGAAACAAAAAATACTGACCCAACTAAATGTTTAACTTCCACAAATAAAAAGCTATTAGTCGCCTAGTGAGCCACCAGGAATTGATAACAGTGTGCATACCTTTAATCATTTTGAATGCTAATTGTAGCGTTAAACGTGGTGTCGTCTAGTTTCTATTTCCGTTACTAACCTTACTCATTAGCTTCATCTTCTTATGTACAACCGACGTTTACAACCGCACCTTATGGGTTGTTATTCGCAGCCCCCTGAAAACCTGCTTTTGGTGTTTGAGCCTTATGTTAAACGATTTCAGTTACTAGAACTTACAAATTATAAACCGCTATGTCTCCAAAAAAGGCATGGATTAAGTACACATGGTCAGTAAATCAACATCTAGCCAATGATGAATGCTAGAACAATTTATACACCAAACTCCACAAAAGCTTCTCATAGTCGTGCAGATATACATAAAGCAATAAGAGCAATTTTCAACTGAATTTCAGCTGAAAGTAATGCGTGCTGAGTATTAGGAATGGTATATCGAAAATTCGAAAGGTGATATCCACTACTGTTTAAAGTTGTAACTGAAACAAACAATACAGCAGATGAGCAGATTATATCACTTCAAATTATCGATACAGGAAAGCGAAACATACACTAGCCTTCCAAGAGAGAATACATAGACTTCAGTCACCATTTTGCTTATTATTAACTTCGTGCACACATAAACCACAATGAAGAAGAAAATACACTATAAGTACTACTCAGAAAATGCAGGACAGATAGTTCGGACAATACTTAATGGACAAACTAAAAAAATACTTCGCAGGCAAAATGGAACAGAACACTGGCAACCTAATTATTTATACGCAATGGAAGATCTCTGAACTGACTATCAGCTAATAAGTCACTAATCTTCGTTAGCATTTGTGTCGTACTCACAACGTAAGTATGAAAATGAGAAATACAATTCGTGGTTGCCAAGCAAGTAAGGATACACATCTGAATGATACAAGTGCTAAACTAATTTTTCTAAGAAAGCTTATATTTTAGAAAAGTTTTTCATGAGATAACTTTACTCGATTTAACTACTTATGTAGTTCGCTGTGCTTTCCCACATGTCCGCTGGTCTTAGTGGGTTTTCGATGTAATTCTATGTATTTTAACTATTCTTTAAAACGAGGAGTTCTAGTGAAACGGTCATTCCGAGTCTGTTCATGAGTGGAGATAATAAAGAACCACAACATAATACCCCCGGAAATTCCAGATGTTTATAAATTACTATTTTTATGACCTTGAGACCTGACGCGTTCAAACGGTTCAAATGGTTGTGGATTTTGAAAAGAAACTCCAAGTATTTCACTTACTACGAAGCATTATCATAATTATTAACTTTATCACCGGCTTTCGGTGTGTTCGTTTTACTTAAGCATTACTTGGTTGAAAGTTGTGGGTTTCCCGAATATTTGTGTTTTACATAAGTTGGAATAGGAAGTAATAATATTAAGGACATGAACTTATTTTCATTCCTATTTTTTTATAGATGACTGAAACATCTATTCTGTAGTCTCAGTTGGAGCGGATTAGAGCCTTTCAAAAGTCGTGACTTTATAGTCAGTAGAAAGGTGTAGAAAGCATTCAGCATTTGACACAGGGAGAAGGCCGACAATGATGGACGCGGGAATATTGATTCAATTCAGTTGGATGGCATGGTTCAGCCTCGCATACGCGTTCATTCTGTATAATTTGATTTTACTCACGTCAAATATATTATTCTGTTTTTAGGTCAAATATATTCTTCAGAAGCACTAGACGTTACATAGCTTATTCTTATGGTGGGATAAGTCAGAATAGACAATTACAGGACTTCCACGTAAAATCTTATAGATTAGATAGTCATATCATGACAAATCCACAATTTTAGGATTAGTTTTATTATAATAATAGTACTAATAACGAAGTAAACTATAATCCTACAGACGCACTTTCCTTTCTTTACGCTTGTCAAGTTTTATAAATTGTAACAGTTTAATGTAGTTCATGTAACCTTTCACAAATCATTTGTTTAACAATGTCGTGTAGTCACAGAACTTAGGGTAGTATCTAACCATAATATACCCATGATTTTGAGTCTCTTGCTAAACTTACATAGGTTTAAAAGATGTCACGGCCATTCAGTTCTTGATAGCGCAATTGTCTATAACACTTTCTAGTCGTATATCTCAAAACTAGTCAGGAATGAAAGAAGTTAGAGATTACAGTTGGAAGTTATGCAGTCCGTCGAGAGGTGCGTGATCTTAGCTAGCTAATCGTCATGATAGTGAGTTTAATTGGACTAATGAAGTCAGAGTCAGTGTTGAATATCCATAAACTACTCAGTTAGGTAATCTTTTTACTGTTAGGGCTCGTTCTCTCCTAATGAGGTAGTTATGACTCTAAGACAATACCAACAAAAAGTTTAAACCAAACGACCTTACTTTTTCGTAAATTCCCTTTTGATAGCTTACTATATCTGTAGTGAACAAGAACACGTGTGAAGACAATCGAATGTATTTGACACGAAATAACAGAGCATGTCACTAAAATCTGAGAACCATATAGTAAAAACATCAATCCATCATATCAAACTTGACTGTTCCTATTGCAGACGTCCATCGATTGTCTCAGATTTCATTGTTCATGCGTTTTCATTCCAATTGCGTTCCGTTCCCGTTCTTTCCTCATCGACCTTCTACTGAAGTACATTCTATGCCTGACCACTGTTAAATACTATATGTGTGGATATAAGTAACCCACACCACACATTCACTAGCGTCTCATTACTTTTTCATGCTCTAAGAAGTCATAAGATGTATAATAATGAAATGTACAATTAAAAGTTCGATTCACCGCATTGCTCCTAAATTTTTCATATTTTTCAGTAGTTCTGAAGAGTAAAGAAATGGAAATGTAAATGCAAGTCAAAACAAACTTGTATTTGCTTAGGCAAGAAAACTCTACGAAAAACTCGTTACCTATGCGTATATATCATAGCGCACAGGCTTTTACATTTTCGCAAGAGAATGATCATGCACAAGCATTTGAAATATATTTTGGATTTTGTTGGGGGGTCGCCTAATAAGAAGGCGGGGTTTACTTGAACGATGCTGATGTTATCAGTAGTCTCGTTCCTATAAATATAACGTGAGTTGATGATGACGAACGCATAGATTCTTTCGTATGCAGCCTTGATGAGTAGACATAATGAGTCGCAGTATACATAGGTGTGTAATGTGGCTTGGCCGAAAACATTAGTTGATTGTAGTCGGGGGGAGTTTTAATCCACATTCACTGAAATAAACGAATGATCTACGAATTCTCCTGGAAATCAAAGTCCTGTGTATTTCTAATTTCAAGTAATATGAGTGGTTGAGATTCACTTCAATGTTATACGTTCGAAGCTAAATTTGAGGCTTTCAACTGTCGGTGACATCGCTCTGCTAAACCGTCAACTTGAGAATATCAGGAAGTTGCTCGAAATTGTATGAGAGTGTATTGGTCCAGATTCGAACGAGCGTTCGCGATCCACTGAAAGACAGCCGCAGTTTGCCACTAGAATCCCAACGAAGGCGAGGAACACTTTTGTACCAGTACTGTTCTTGATAGATACTGCTTCTGATCGTCACACAAAGTGGTCAAAACACTTTAAGAGATGAGTGTATCCATTTGGTTCTGATAAGTGTGTGACATCAGAAAAGTGAATCGCTCCAGTGCGTCTGTACTGGTGACTGAATAGCATTTAAGGAGTGTAAGATCCATTTTGAATGCTTTGTGTGTTTGTGAAAATCCCTCCATGTATATACTTGCACTTTGTTCCTATTGATCCTCTTAGTTGTACATTGTTAACCTTTTGGCTACATTTGAATTGTTAATATTTGTATTTTATTATAGTTTTCGTTTTTACTACACCTTCACTAATTCCCTATGTTTCTTCCCGAACTGCACTTATGTTGTTTTACTTTATACTAAGTCTGGGCGGCAGCGTTTTTGGTTTATCCCTGCTTTTGATTGCTTGACCTGTGTTGACTGGAATTGTGCATTTTGGTTGTGAATTGAAGCACTCTTCCAGAATTGAAAACACTCTGTGTTATAGAGCGACCAATTATTACCTTTTGAACGAATCTGTACGTGATCTATCCAGACAGGATAGAATAACAGTTATTTGTGGTGATTGGTAATTTTCTTGCATCCTTTATCAACTTTCTTATTTATTGTAGTTTAGATTTGATCAATTGAACGATTATTGGTTGGATAGCTGAGTGGTTATATTTGTTTAGATCCGTCATCTTACCCAATTACTTTGTTTTTGTTTCAAACGGACGAGGGCG